GTTTAATTACCTCTCTTCCCTTCAGTTTGCATAATTACAAGTCCTGCCATATTTTTCACCTCGGATACATGTATCTATCGCGTCTAGATACATGTATCCGAGATCCATGTTAGTCAGATACATATCATTAAGCTTATCTAATTAAAGATTGTAACTGACAATCATAAATTAAGGAGGAATTCACGCGTGTAACAATTATGGAATATTTTGGTGTATCACAAATAATCAAAATAATTAAAATTCTACTATTTTTTTTGAGATTCAACAAACTTTACACTTCTTCTTCTTAAATAATTTCAAACATTTTTTGTTCAACAATAGTCGATATCATTATTTTATAAATCCAGATACATAAGTTCGATTGTAGTTCTAATACATAGTGTGAAACTATTATAGATACACTGCCTAACTAATCCAGATACATTTTCTAACTTGTTTAAGATACCTTATGATATAAGGTAGTTCAGATACAATTTTTTTTCCTATTATATCACATAAAGTTTGGTGTATCCGTGTCAAGATACACTATTTAACATATTTCGTTTAAACAGTATATGAGATAATTCAGATACATTAAACTAATAAGTATGACAGATACATTACGTTGTCATTAATATTAGATCAGATACATGTTACATATTTAAGTAATTCTGATACACTTTAGAACATGTGTAATATACATGAATTAGTTAATTGTTGGGTACATCCCCTTGCATCTGATATAACACAAGATTCAAAAGTCATATAGTCTTAATTAATACTGATACTTTTTAGACATACATGTATCTGATAAATAACATTGTTATATATTAGATACAAAAAATAAAAATAACTATATCAAATATGCGACATGGTATATGATATAACACAAAATCGATATTGTTAGATAGATACATAAAGTATACTGCGAATTATGAATAGATCTTGCATTTTTTTACATAAATATTGTAAACATAATCTTACTCGACTTCTGCATCTGAGTTTTCTGATGTGGTCATAGGGCCTCTTTTTCATAAGGAAATCTGGATCCCGCCTCTTGGAATCTGTGATGTTCTTAGGTTCCACTTGGAAGAGCATGAATACAAGATGACTCTACCTGTGAAATCTAGATTTACGGTTCTTTTGAGCCATACAGTCAGCGTTTATGTGCTTGTTGGATGCAAAGATACAAACAAAGTTGTGTGCATTATCAAGAAGTCTCTTTTTGATCATATAAATCGAACAACATATCGGGCTTTAACTTATGATTATCTTGACTTCTCCTCTCCTATGTGCTTGTTTGTATCGACTGTTTAGGCAGCATGGATAGTTTAGTGAAGAAGATTTATGAGGGAGAAGGAAGAAATAAAGAGAATTGGGAGATGAACTTTGGATTGGAGATTGAGATGAAGGAAGAGAGAATATGCAGATGTGATGGAAAACGTGGGGGTGAGGGGAGATATATTGTTGGCATAGGAGTTTAAGGGATAATTGTTAATTTACCTTTAATCAAGGAGTTTGAATTTTAAGATAATTATTTAATACCATATTTAAGAGATTTGTGTATCTGATTTAACTTTTTAAAATATATTGTATAATTATTAAAAAGTGGTATTATGAGCAATATTTTTAAACTATAGATAAAATATGTATATATGATAGTTAAGTATGTCTAATTATGTAGTTTTTCCTTATTATAAATCATAAATTATAAAAATTGTAGATTGTGAGTTACTAGTTTAAGGGCCCATTTGGTCATGCGATATGGTATCATGATATGAAATCATTAGATGAAATTGAAGTTTTGTTTGGACATGCGATATGAAATTTTTGTGTTGTATATTTTCTCATAAACATAAAAATCTCATAAGTTGTAAACTATTAAAATAGCCCCAATTGTTTATTCAATCTTATCAAATAAACAAAAAATTATAAAATCGCATAATAAATTATTACAAAGCTATTTGTTCTCCACTTAAGTAATTGTTTCATCTAACTTTAATTCAATTAAAAAAAATTGAACATAAATTGTAGTGTACTAGTCTTTAGTATAATCCTCCCACATAGTACGGACAATTTCCTCACGTTGAACTTGCATTTCTCGATCATGTGACCGAGAAGACGAACCAACATTGTTACTTTGAGCCATTTGTTGGTCAATATCATCCGCAACTATATTTTCATGCTCATAGACCATACATATTTCATCACTTTAACAATCGGTTGGTGTGAGTTAAAGTGACTATATGTTAGTGAGAATAATAAATTTTATGTCGGTGAGAATAATAAATTTTGAAAAGTAATGATGTGATTATAAATTTTATTTACATATGAAATAAATGGTTAGTAGATATAAATGTGGGGTTGTTTTAACAAAAAATAAACTCGTGGATCAATTTTTATATTAAAATATCTCAAATCATGATATATAATTTCATATCATGGTTTTTGGAGAATATGAAATCATGAGATGGAATCAACGTAAAATCGCATGTTCAAACGCTGATTCCATCTCACGATATCATATCGTGATATGGTATCGCATGGTCAAACGCCTACTTAGTTATCAAAACACTAATTACCAGAGAGTATAATTATAGCATTTGTTAGGTTATCAAAACACCAATCACCTTAGACTACTCACACTTTACTGGGCTGAAGCCCACTCCCCAAATTAGGCCTACAAATTTGGGGACTTTATGACAATTGATAAATGATAATTATTGGATGCATACAAATTTGAGATCGCCATTTAAATATATTTAGAATGCATACAAAATTGCTAGTCTATTTACTTTTGTTATAACTTCATATAGTTATTTTTGTTTGAACTTCAACCAGTTTACTTGAAGTTCTTGCACATATGATTGTCTAAACTTTATACACATATCACTGAAGTTCTAATAAAAATAATCGAAATTCAGTCAATCAATTATCGATTTAAACTTTTGTTGATAAGTTGATTATGCAATACACATTGCAATAAAAATAGCTTTAAGTGACAATATATATACACATTAACAAAAAGTGTTAAAATCTTTACCAGTACTAGTTAATTGTCATTGGATTCAGTATCGCTATAGACTTTAAGGACATTTATAAATAGTGTTCAATGCCGTTAAAAATGTGTTTTTAGCGGCAATTAAGCTATTGTCATTAATTAATTACCGCTAAAACTCATTTTTGATACAATGACAACTAAAAAAGTTTTAACATCTCGAAAGTCCAACACTATAGAAAAGACTTTATAAAGAAAGAATTTTTGCTAGGGGAAACAAATCTTTAGTTTGATTGGTTATCATTTGACAATATAATAGAAACAAGCATGCATGAGTACTTAGAATGAAGGGTCAATAATTGGATTTTAAATTGAATATATATATATATATATATTGTTTTAACCAAAGTTATTTGTGTTCAACGAATCTATAGCTTCGTCCCTGCCTACTTTTATAGCTATCCAAGAGCTCAACGGCATGCCCATCATGGTTCGACTCGGGTTGGAATTTGGTTAAAATTAAAATACCACTTTAATTAATGGTTTAATTATTAAAATCAAATATAATTCACATTTATCGATTTGGTTCAATTTTTTTGTTCAGTTTTGTAAAAAAAGCCAATAGTATTTATGTTTCATTTTTTCCCTACCATATAATAGAAAATAAATTTTCATCATTTTTCAATTTATAATCTGTTATTAACCTTTTATTGCGGTGACTATAATTTTTTTGAATTATGGAGAAATTGTCTTAAGATTTATTAACTTTAATTAAGTGTATAAAGTTTATAAGAAATACAAATGAAATATATAGGCAAATCGTATAATTGTTTCTTTAAATAAATGAGTTTAGATTCATGACTTTAATTTCGAAAATGAGCTTAAGGAGTAAAATTCATTAGCATATTAGAAATAATTAAAATTTTCATGAAAAAATATACAAAGTATGAAAATCATTTATAAATGTTAATACATTATACATATATAATTATAAAATTTGTGTATATAATTTATCGCTTGGATTCAATTTTTCTTCAATTTGTTTTTAATAAAATATATCCAAATATTATCATTTTTAAAAATTTAAATACAAATCAAAACCAAAATCAAATAAAATTTGATTTATTGAATCGATTTGAATCAGTTTACATATGGATCAATTTTAAACAAAATTATGATCATCTTGACGACGTGAACATTCATTTTAGGCCTTTTCTCTTTCCACATGAATCTGAATGTATTTTAAAAAAATATGATTTATATTCCTTAAATTTTTAAAAACTAGTAAAATCACACTTTCTTGACTAATATACTTGAAACATATGTATAATTAAATCTGCTCTTTAAGAATAATATCTTAAAATTGACAGTCACATAATTTCATCAATTAGATTTCATATACAAGCTACTACATATTGTTACAAATATTTTTTCACTTTATTTGACATTTTTGAAGTTCGAGCTGTATTTGATTATAGTTTTTACGAATAATATTAGGTTGTTTGAATGTACTTTATTCTAGAAAAATATGAAAGATAATTTAAATACAATTATTTTTATAAAAAAAAAAAAAAAAAAAGGTAAAAATTGAAAAAAGAAATATAGAGTAAAAGTGAAAAACAAGGTTGATTTTCCAAATTTCAAAAACAATTTTAAATTGTATTTCGAGTTTTCATAGCTAACAGCTGATTTTTAGATAAAGTGGTAAAAAAAAAATGAAAAAAATCTCATACCCAAACGGATTCACCGTTCATGTCCATTTTATCCAATTTGCCAATAAGAGGAGTTGCTTGTAGCTTTAATATAATTGGCTGATGTGGGATTCACAATTTGAGATCAAGTTATTACTTAAGTTTCTTCTACGACTATCAATAATAACAATGAAATCGCACGAGTGGGGTCTAGACAGACATAACAAGTACGCTATTGAAGATTAATTTGTTGGAAAAGATACCCATTTCATCAAAACATTGGAATGACAACACTGGGGAATTTCCTACTATGCAAAAATTTAAGAAGCAAATAAAACTATTTAATCTTCTCCTATACCAATTTCCCCCACAATTCATTAGTAAGTTATAAAATCAAAACAACCCCAAATCTCCTCCTATAATATCAACACTCCACATTAGCTTTTTGAGCCAAAGGAATAGCAGCAATTGCATTATCACCAGTTCCAGGCAACTTCCTCTTGGGCTTAGCCTCTTGCAACATAGATATAACATCCCTCATCGATGGCCTGTCAGCTGGGTTACGACTAGTACACAGCAATGCCACCCTCAGCAACAACATCATTTCCTCCCTAACTGAAAGACATGAAGCGCCAGCATTTTTATCCAACACATCATTTATGCCATTTTTAGTCTTGATCTTCGACTTAACCCAATCCACAATGCTATTTCCATCGCCAAATTCTGGTTCCACCGATCTTTTCCCTGATAAAATTTCAAGTAACACAACCCCGTAGCTGTAGATGTCACTCTTCTCATCAACTTGCAATGTGTATGCATATTCTGTATCAACAAACATATTTAGTACTATAACTATATAAAAAAAAAAAAAAAAAAATAAGATCATTTTAATTTGTTATCATAACACTCTGTCTACTAGTGCCCAAAATGGTTGACTTTAAGCATTAAAGTGAAGAAATGTAGTACTAGTACTATATTATATACTAATAAATCAAAGGGTTAATCACAGATAAGTAACTAAGACAAAATCTTGGTGGGTCCAAAGAATAACAAAAAGTGTAAAATAAAAGCTTAAAGGCTAATGGAGCTATTCACGCGCAACTAGTGCGCCATGCCCTCTTTAAGCACCACAAAATCATGGACAAAAACAAAGAGAATAAATATTTGCACCAATTGTCATAAAGTAGTATGAGAAAAGAAATACTTGATACCCTTTATTAAGAAAATTATATTACCTGTTTCACTACACTAATATTAGAATCTTCATAAGAATATTATTTTAACTTCCTAATAAAAGTTTCAACATTTAGATATTTATATCATATTGTGGCGCTCAAATTCAAAAAATGAATTAGTGCCTTCAAGATCTGGTTATGATTAAAAGAAGATTCCACTAGTATGAATCAGTTGAGGAATTTGACAATTGTGTGGGGCAAAGAAGATTTAATGACGATAGTGGACGAAAAAAAAACAATATACATCATGCTTTCACTAAAAAAATGCATCATGCTATTGACATGACACCACGTTTTAGCACGCAAGTGAACTCTTTTTCGTCACCCTACAGAACGAACTAAACTGATCTGAACAAAATAATTTTGGATAGCAATAAGCCGCACAAGAAAAAAACTTGAACTCCAAAACAATCATGTAATTCCATCAAGCAAACAGACAAATATTCCTGCCATTAATAACTAACTAAATTAAAGAACACGATAAAAAGTTGAATATTACGAATTACTTTCTTAAATTTCATGTCAAGTTGAAACGGAGGGAATATTAACTTACCAGGTGCGATGTAGCCATAGGATCCAGCAATCACGGACATAGATTCATCACACTGAATCAACTTGGCAACACCAAAATCAGCTACTCTAGCCTCCAGATCACCGTCCAGAAGAATATTACTAGGCTTAAGATCACGATGAACAATGACGGGATCACAATCATGATGAAGATAACAAATTCCATGAGCGACCCCAAGAGCAATTTTGTACCTAGTGAGCCAATCAGCCACCAAATTATCATCCTTATTCTTACCATGCAACAGATCATCCAGGCTACCATTAGGCATGTACTCATACAGCAACATGGTGCACTCGTTGTTGCTGCAACAGCCGAACAACCTCACGATGTTCCTGTGCCTCACATTGCCTAACACATCCACCTCAGCTAAAACGCCTCGCCTTTTCCTGATCGTTTCCTTCTGTTTTCCCCATAGTTTCTTTACTGCTATGGTCTCTCCGCCTGGCATTTCCGCCTTGTACACTGTCCCTGTTGAACCCATTCCCAGGATCTTATCTGTCATAGTCAAACTCTCAAGTACATCATCCGCCGAGAAGTTTAACCTTTGAAATGCGGTTAATTTCCATGGCCCAACTTCTCTCTCTACTGAAAATCGCTGGCTGTATTTCGCGTGGAAACAGCGGCTACCGGCGATGAGGACGAATAAACCAATACCGAATGCTGCTGCCATGATCCAGACAATAGCGCCAGCTGTTTTTTTCGGCTGTGGCTTGATTTCCGCTGCTCCGGCTGCGAGTCCGTCAGTCCCGCAAGGCTTTTGAATGACAGTACCACAGAGGCCTTCGTTTCCGATGAAGGAAGAGGAATGTAGGCTGGAGAAAATTGAGCCTGAAGAAGGAACTGGACCAGTGAGCTGATTGTAGGATACGTTGAAGTTTTCTATGGTAGTGGAATTGGCGAAATTCGAAGGAATTGTTCCTGTGAGAAAATTGTGAGACAAATCAACCTCTGTTAAGGAAGGAATTGCAGAAATTTCCCAAGGAATGATTCCCGTTAGCGAATTTCGTCGAAAATTCATGCAAATGAGCTTCTCACAATGTTCAATATCCCATGGAATGCTTCCTGTGAGATTGTTTCCTTCCAGTTCGATTCTGTAGAAAGCTTTACACCCTTTGAAATTGGGGATTTTCCCGACAAGGCCACTGTAACTAGCAGAAAAGATCTGTAGAGATGGTGAAGTCCAGATACTCTCCGGTAATTCACTGTTGAATGAATTCTCCGATATGTTCAAATACGCCAATGTCGCGGCATTCCCTAAATCTTCTGGAATTGGACCAGTGAAATTATTTTTGCTCAAGTCCCAGTAAGCTAAATTGGGCAAAATACCGAAGCCTAATGGTATTGACCCGTTGAGTTTGTTGTTTTGAATTCTAAACCTGAATAATGCAGTGCAATTTGCTAAGGAAGAAGGGATCTCACCAATAAACTGATTTGAAAACAGGATAAGTTTAACTAAGTTATTGCTGAGACAGAGATTTGGTGGAATGGGACCTGAGAGATAATTTGAAGAGACATCAAGTTTTTGTAGCTTTGCATTTGAACCCAACTTCTGTGGTAAAATCCCAGTGAGTGAGTTATTCCATAGAGCCAATAATTCAAGATTAGGAAGCTCACCAATGCCTTGTGGGATTTCACCTGTTAAGTTATTGTTCATCAAATTCAAGACTGTAAGCTCCTTGAATCCTGAAAACCCTTGGGGGATTGTTCCAGAGAGATGGTTGTCAGACAAATCCAATGATTTCAAGGATGTCAGTCTGGCAAAAGACAATGGAATTGTACCATACAAATGGTTCTTGAAAAGAAGCAGAGTTTCAAGGTTTGTCAAGTTGCCTAGTCCAACAGGGAGATTACCAGAAAGATTGGCTAATGAGATATCAAAATAGTTCAACTTTGACAAAGTAGAAAATTCAGCAGGGACAACTCCAGTGAAATTCTGGTAACCAATTTCTACATGTTCAAGCTGTTTCAAGAAACCCAACTCAGGCAAAACAGGACCATTCAATAAATTTCCAGCCAAGTGCAAAAACTTCAGTTTTGCTAAGCCACCATAACTTTTTGGAATCACACCCTTGAAATAGTTTCCCCCAAAGTTAAGGTACTCAAGATTTGGGATTTGAGCAACTTCTTCAGGCAAAGGGCCTATGAAGTCATTACTATAAGCATTTAGGTATGTTAGAGACTTGAGCCTTGACACACCAGAGGGAAAAGTTGAATTAAACAAGTTGTGACTAATATCAAGTGTCTTGAGAAAAGGCAATTCAAAAATGACTGTTTGAAGAGGACCCTCCAAAGCATTTCCACTCAAATTCAAGTGATGAAGGTGTACCAAGTTTCTGATATCTTCTGGAATTGTACCAGAAAGATTGCGCTTCGATAGATCAAGAGAGGTGATTTGGTTAGTTTTCTTGTCACATTTGATACCAGACCAGGAACACCAAATGTGAGAACCCGGTCTAGCGAAGGCGAGGGTGGGATCCCAGTCATTGAAGGTATTGTGGTGATCATGCAAAGAAGATTTTAAAGTCAAAAGAGATATAAGTTGTAGAGGTAGATTGGTAATGGAGAAAACAAGTGAAATTCTTGTTAGGAAGAAGAAAACTGTAGTAAGAAAGAAAGGAAACAAGTGTCTCATGGTGATGTTGTTTACGGTGGAAATGGTTGAGAAATGGGGTATGTAAAGAGAGGTAAATTTGAGAGAAAAATGCTTTTTAGGAGTGCTGGAAAAATAGAGTGTGTTTCATGATGATTTTAGTGGGTTAAGTTTGGTGTGAAGAGAGAGACAAAAGAAAGGAAAGTAAATTTGAAAAAGAATTATACTAATTCTTCTTCTTCTTGTTGTTATTTAGTTATTTAGTAGTTTCCAACTCCAATACTTGTACTCACACATTTCATCACTCACTATTTCTTGATAATGATAAATATCATGTGTTGCTCTGTTTTCTTTTGCTTTAATTTCTTTGTTTGTCTCTCTTTTTTTTCTCAGTATTTTCATACTTTTTCTGCTCTCTTAGAAATACGTTTTGGTTTTCTTAGATTTCATTCCTCTTTTCTTTTTTAATATATTTTCCCCACCACTTTTGCATCATTCCTTGTACCTTTATCTTTAGCCAACCAAAAATAAATTGAATTTGAGTAGTACTCCTTTCAAAATAATAACTCATTTGGATTGACTTATTGTTTTTGACTTATAAGCCATTATAAGTTAAAAAAATTTATTTATGACTTTTGAGTTATTTGTGTCTTTTTATCTTAAATTGAGTGCTTATAAGGACTTTTTAATTTACCCAAACACTCTAAAAGTACTTTAAAAAGTTGGATAAGTCAATTCAAACGGACTCTAATAGCCCATTTGGATTGACTTAAAAAAGTACTTACTCCGTTTAAAAAAGAATGACGTCATTTCCTTTTTAGTCAGTTTAAAAAAGAATGACCTCTTTCTTTTTCTCGTAACATTTTAATTTCAGCTTTCCACAAGGCATGTTTAAGGCCACAAGATTAAAGGGCAATTTTGTACATTTGACATAACTTTAATTTATGACCACAAGATTCAAAAGTTTTCTTTTTTTTCATAAACTTCGTGTCAAGTCAAACTATGTCATTCTTTTTTAAATGGATGGAGTAGTTTTTAAGTTAAAAATAAAAAGTCAAACTGAAATGACTTTTAAGTCAAAAAATAAAAAGTAATAAGAGACCTACTTTTGATTTTTGACTTATTTTAAGTATTTGTGACCTTGTCAAACACTTCCTAACTTATTTTAAGTCATTTTTGATTTATTTTAAGTTAATTTTTATATTTGTCAAACACTTTCAGAATTCAAAAACTAGTAGGTTTGACCAACTTTTAAGTTAATCCAAACTGCCTCTAAGTGATATTACTGTAATCAAGAACTATCAATTAACCTTTTTTTATTAGAAATAATTGAATTTTTTTTTTTTATTATTTTCCAAGAATGAATATACATTTAAATTAAAAATACCACTTATTTTTTAATGAATTGACAGAATATTATAAGGGCAGGATCCAAGAAAGTTTAATTTCGATTTTCCCACTTCCCCACATTATTCCTTTAATCTTATTTGCTCCCCCTTTTTATCCCTATTGGCAATTCTTGTTTCTTTAATTTTATTTCCACTTTGAACTAGCAGATGAAAGCACCTTGTGACATTGGGCCATGCTAGAAGGACCACATATATTTATCTTTAACTGAAAAAAACCTTCAAAATGTTAATTTAATCATCAGGTGGCTCTAATATTAACTTGATTAATGATGATTACTAATCAATTAATTATCTTTCCATGTGGTCATAAGTATATATACAAACAAATCTATAATGCTCCATTATTGAATTAATACTACTTTATAATATACTCTATTAGATAAGATTTTAATCTATTATCCACTACTCTCCTCTTAAAGGCAAAGCAAAGAAGGAAAAACAAAAAGAGGAAAAGTGAGAAACCTACAAAAATAAAAAAAAATAAAAAAAAATGCATTACTCCAATGTGAACAAGTATGGCCTTTTCAAAGAGTACATTGGGATTCATTAAATCTAGATGACTGTTTTTAACATTTAATATTGGTACTTTCAAGTGAGAAATTTTTATTGTACCGAGGTTGAAATTTAAAGTATATGTACAAAATACTGTAAAGATTATCCCTCCATTATAAAAAATATCAAATTATATGAATTTTGACTAATATTTAAAAAGTCATAATACTATATTTTAAATTATTGGTCAAACACAATGCAATTTGATTCTCAATTAATATTCTCTTCATCTCATACTCTATTAGTATTTGTTAACAAAATCAAAATAGGTAAAAAAAAATAATCTATTTTAACTTTAAAAATAATTCTTATAGAAGTATTAAATATTATAAGTTTACATTAAATTTTGGATTAAAACCTTAAATTCTAAATACGTTGACTTTTAAGGTTTGTAATATGAATTTTTATCCAATAAAATTCAATGTCTACGACTATCTGAAAAGTAAACTCATTATAAATATTAACGGGGTTACATGAAATAAGAGATAATTTATCTCCCAGGTTCTAAATATTCTTATTATTAATTATAGTTATTTTTTAACACATTTTTAAAATATGAGTTTATTATATTCAAAAAATGATATAGTAAATTATTTTTTGTAATTATTATTATTATTATTATTATTATTATTATTATTATTATTATTATTTAAGAGGTATTTCATATTATATAAATATAAACAAATAAAGAGACGAATCGGAGGAACTGGATGCATTAAATTCCAGCTATTTTACATCAACATTTTTTTTTACTTTTGTAAACACTTAAAATGATGGGAACTGTCATTAATGTTTTGTAAGGTGTATTCGATTTGATAAAGAATAAAACTTAAATCAACATAATGATTCTCATTTCTCAGTGTTTTCCCTCTACCATACTACGAAATGTACTTTTGATGATATATAGCTTAATTAGTATCTTTTGTCACCTACCATTCTACTTTACCTTTACTCATAGTATTTGATCATCTTTTTGCCCACCAATTGTTAAGGTATACTTATCAACTTAAAGGGAAAGGGATAAAATTTACGTGTAACTCTAGTCTATTGAAATCTACTTATAAAAAAACTTATTTCACAGGCTCTGCCCTTTGAGTGAACATTCTGTGGTGAGCACTTTGTGCGTACTAGTTAAATATCCTACTGTGTAATAAATTGCAAACGATATAGAGAATGAAAATCTCACTACACAAATCATATGCGATAGACTCAATTAAGAAGATATTGAGGGAAAATCAATTCTGAATTTGTTAAAATGGATAATAATACTTTTAGCACCTCGATCGATTATAAGTAAATTTTGATTTTGATTTTGATTCTAGTACATAATATTTTTACTGAGTATATTCAATTTGTAATAAGTTGAAATGTGTTTATTCCCTTTATAAAGAAAGTATGTTATATTTGATTTATTTTAAAACTATATTACTATCCACTTCTTGAACTAAATATAAAATAACAATGTAAACTTAACATACTACATGAATACTTAAGTAGTTGAATGACTAATAATTAGAATAAATATATGAAATATCCACAAGTAAACAAATCAAAAATGCACATTTTGATTAATTTATCAATAATCAATTATCTAGTTTTTATCGGAGAGAGAATTTTGGCATAAATAATTATTTTCTACATTTTTTAAAACAATTCAATCTTTGATACCCCTATTTGAAAATTTCATTAATTCAAATTCATATCGAAAATTTTCACATGAAAGAGAAAGCGATACATATCAAAAAGATAATTTATAATTGATTTAGCAGAATAATCGTGATAAAGTCATAAATTGTAACAAACACAAATTGTCTTATTCATATTCATGATTGTGAATAAGCAAGAGAAGCAAGTGACAACATGCGATCTTCATGACATTGGAATTAAAGTTAAGTGTGGTATTATGTATGTGACAAAGTGTAACAAACAAACAAACAAACATAATTCACAAAGAAAACGGTTACTAGCTAGCACACCAATTGACACTTCTTAGCGTACAAACAAAAACCAAAAGAATTAAAGTTCGAATAATAAAAGGAAAAAAGAGACAATGGTTGATGGTTCCGTACTAGAAAATACCTATGAGGAGCAATGTTGTCGTCACTCTACATTTGTTCCAAATTGAATACAATTATTTCGAGTCGCAAAAAATATACGAGTCTTTGTTCGTACTAACCCAATATATATTTTCTTGTTCAATTTATAAAATATATATGAAATTTGGTTTTAATAGTTTTCACAATTTGTGTTTATGATAAAATATAATATAAAAAATTCAAGTTGCATGTCCGAATAAAAACTTCATATCAATATAATTTTATAGAGAAAATAGTCTAACCCCCACCCCCCCCCCCCCCCAAATCTATACCTGAAATCCCAACTACACACTCTAATTTCACGGGTGTCCTATTACCCCCTAACATTTTAAAAGTGAAATATATACCCCTTAAAAAGTCATACCCAAATTTATGTTAAGGAGTGAGATACACTCGCCTGCCACATCATATATTATTATTTTTTTAGTAAAAATGTTATTATTCTTTGTCTTTATTTTATATTTTTTTTTTATATTTTCCTTTTTCTTTTATTTTTTAATCCTCTTTTGACTTTTCTTTGATACCAACTTTTTCTCCATTGATATGAAACCTAGAACTGAGCATCGGAAATTTTTTCAGCTCCTCCATTGCTTCTCTCTCAAAAGACAAAAAGAGGAAGAAACGATGAGCAGATCAGGTTAGCCTCCAGATCTCAAAAAGTATATGGACAAGCAGTTTCAAATCAAGTTGAATGCTAGCCGCCAAGTTGTGGGGACTCTTCGTGGGTTCGATCAGTTCATGAATTTGGTTATCGACAATACTGTTGAGGTCAATGGAAACAATAAGAATGAGATTGGCATGGTGGTAATTCGGGGTAATAGTGTGATTACAATTGAAGCTAGCTCTGGAACCAATTGCAATGAAAAATTATCGATATCTCTGTTCAGAAAAAATAATAATTAGATGACAACATTGATAAGTTTGTGTGGTCAATTAGTTTTCGAAAAGTAGATGGTATATTGGAGTTGAATATGATGGCAAATTCAAAGTGAATTCGTGATTTGAAGTATAAAAAATTGTTTTTTTCTATTTTTAATCTCGTTGTTATAATTACTGTCTACGAA